TAATTGTGCTTACCAGACCATAATGTACGATATATAATCAAGACAAACGAAATCTCTTCTTGAGTAATACATGGTAATTAAATATTATCCTTTAGTGTCGGTGTCATGACTAAAGTCACGATACTTATTTATAGGATAACAGAATAGATATACCCGGTTTGCAATATCCCAAATTTTAGACTAGTGATTGAAAAGTAAATTTGGAAGTTTGGAGACCAAAGTGTAAATTTGTAAAATCTCAGGAATAAAATTGTAAATTTTAAAAATTATATTTTGGGTCTGTAATGAGTGGTTCAGCCCAAGAATGGAATTATAATGGGTTTCAGATTATTGATCTAGACTTTGTATAAAAGTTTATTAAGCGATAAAAATCGATAAAATATAAATAATCGGATTGAATTGAAAGTATACAAAATTTTGAAGGAATGCAGTTTGGGCCTTGGGGCTATAAATATTATATTGATATTTTTAATTAGAGGAATTTTCATGTTAAAGTTAGGGATGGGCATGTGTCAGGTTAGGTCGAATTTTTGGTCAACACCCGATCCGAGAACAATGACTCCTCCACCCGAAATCCAACCCAACCCGCATGAAACAAGATTTCACCCGACCCAATATATAACTTAAAAACCCAACACGATTAAACTTTACTCTTTGATTAGTTTGATAAAAATTAATTAGTTAGTTTAGGAACAAAAGTTACATTAAACTAATCAATGGCTTCATGCTTTTAAACTTTAATTAGTAAACTAAACAAGTATTATATATATTAAATCAAAAGAAAAGAACGAAAATAAGATGAAAAATTGTTCTCCGGACTCGATAGTAGTTTATATGTTTGATAAATAGCATATTTTCACATACACAAAATCAACAAAGCCAAAAATCATGAAAAGAATGACTTACCTTACTAAAAATTGAAGTTCTTCTACTTTTAAGTTTTGGTTGGTTTGTTTTCAATTACTGGGTATTGACTCTAGAAGAAGAATAGATGAAAGTGTAAAAAAAATTGAGGTTTTTTTATGGTTGAGAATGAATCTAAAATTGTGAGATTTAATCTTGAGCAGGAAAAGGGTAAGAATTTGTGAGAAAAGGAAATAGGGTAAGAGTTTCAGATTGTTCTGCACATACAATCCGGATTGGGTTAGGTAGGGTATTTTTAACCTTAAACTCGACTCTGACCTGAACTTGAATATTTTAATTTAAAGCCCAGTCCAGCCTGACCCGACCCGAACCCGAACTCGAATTTCTTTTAAAAATCCAACCCGATCCGATCAGGTCGGGTCAAAACCCGTTGAGTACAGGTCTCATGCCCATCCCTAGTTAAAGTGGAATAGTGAAATTTAATGACTAAATTAAATTTTTTAAAATTGGAAGGGAAAAGCTGGGAATTGATAATGAGATTTTATATTTATTTAAGGATATTAAAATAGAGATAAAGGATGGTATGGTGGTAAAAATTAGGATTCATTAAGGGTAATTTTAACTTTTGGGCTAAAATGAATTTTAATTCATTTTAAATTGGTTTTTTAAGGAGATATTTGTAAGAAATTTCAAGAGAACTCTTCTCTTTTCCATAACCTGTCTTGATTCCATAGCCAAGGTGAGCAATGTTTTCTTTTTCATTTTTGGTACATTTTAATGAGAATTTGGACTAAAATGTGAAATAAGAAAATGTTCTACATTTAATTCTCTACAAATTGGTACAAGTATTTCATTGATTCATGCTTAAATGGTGAAGTGGGTATTTATGGTGGTTGAAGAGAAAATTTTATTTGGTTGAAATAAGATTAAATTTTGATTTTAGGAGTGTCATGAAAGCATAAACAAGCATGGAAATTGATTGGAAATTATTAGAGGACTTAATTGAAAGTTTCGGCTATGATAAGGTGTTAGGAGATTTTGAAATGATTATTTTGATATGTGAATGGTTTAGAATGGTTGCATTTGATTAAAAATGAATACAAGATGATGAATTTAAGTTTGAAACAAATCTAGGGACTATTTAGGAAAGATTCAAAGTATTCAGGCTGTAAAGAAAACTTTTGGAAAAAATTTCAAAAAATCCTTAAGGGTTTATATGGTTATGGAAGTGATCTCATGTGCTTGAAATCATGTTTGGATTGAATTGAAGCTTGAATAAATTAGAGGATCATTTCATAAATTATGGAAATTAAGATCCATGCAAAAAAAATAAGAAAGTTGTGGTTCCATACTGAAATTTATTATTAGTGTGATGATCATTGAATTTAGGATGATTAGAATGGTTGGACTTGATTATAAATGAATGTTAGATGATGATGATTCAAGCTTGAAAACAAATTGGAGACTATCAGGGACTACTTTGTAATTTTTGGCCATAAGGAGGAATAATTGGAAAATTTAATAAAAATGTCCTAGGGATTAGATTGGATTTAAGGATGATTTTCATGCCTTGGAATTGAGTTTTGGATCATTATGGAACCATGATAAGTTAGAAGGCCATTGTTGTAAGTTTTGAATAATGGAAGGATTAAGTTGTAAGTATTTGAAAATTTAAAACACTATGCTGGAGATTAGCGATGGAACGTTGATTTTAGATTGAAATGAAAAGTTTGTGTAATTTTAAGGGGTATATTCGGGAGTTTCAAAAAGTTAGTGGTGAGAATTTCAAAAGTACAATACTAATGTATAATTGGGAAGTGTTAAATGATGATTGATATGGATTAAACTGAATTATTAAGGATTTGGAAAGATAATTTAATAGAGTTAAGGTTGATTTGGTTTAGTAAGAAATTAGTATCTAACGTATATGAATGTATATTAGAATTTTGATTTGAATTAGAATTTATTATATTAGTATGAATATTAATACATGTTTGAAATTATATATGTCGGGAAATCGATTGATGTGTAGATCGCGATCGAAAGGAAGCTCAAAGTGAATTAAAAAATGATAAAACTCGAGAGTGAATGATCGTAATATTAAAGTTAGTGAGACAACATGTGAGTACAACTAACTTTTTTATATAAAATGATATGAGAACGACTAGCGATGAGTCAATCTCATCGATCTGAAAAGAATTTTTTTAAATCGTGTTTATTTTATAGCATGCGATATCTTGATTATGAACTATCTAATACTAGTTTTTATGATATTTTTATTTATATTCGATTATAGGATGTTTTATATGGAGAACAATATATGATTTGAGTTATGCCCATTGTATGAGATAGAGAGTTAGTGGTACAAATGACATGCCATGAGGGAGAGTGATTACTGATTTATTCACTGATTATTGATACTGGCACTATATGTGCACTATACGTTCACGATGTTGTGACATTGTGAAATCCATATCAGATTACTGGTATAGTGATGTGTTTTACAGTACCTGTATATTACTGTATTGGCACTGAAAGTGCAAACTATTATTGATAATAAAACTGCAAATAGTGCATTCACTTGTTTATGACTCGCGTACCATATATTCTCATAATGATACAATGGGCAATAATATTGAATAGAGCAGTACATAATTGATATGACACATATTGTTGACTGTCAGACTATTTAAGTAAAATTTTTGTTACAGGTTTGAACTTACATTTAATTATAACTACCAGTATATGCAAATAATTTTTTTATCGCAATTGGATTTACACATGTTTAATTTTAATAATTTTTTATAATATCACATGTTCTATATTTAAAAGTTTTATTTATTTTATTATGTTGTCTCATTAAGTGAAAAACTTAGCTTGTAATTGGTTCACGCGCGTAGGTATCAAGCAGCGATTAATGTCGAACGTATCATAGTTATTCCGGGGAAATCAAGTCCGACACCAAAATCAGTAAGGATATCCTGTTTTGTTGTATTTGTATTAGACATGTATATTAATGAGATTTTAGTTGCTCTAATATTTATATTAGTTCTATAAACTTTGTAACATAATATTTAAAATTGTATTAAATAAAAATATTAAAGTACTATAAATAATATATGAATAGTGCAATATTAAATTATGTTTTAAAATATTAAATTATGATTTTATGTGATTATTAATTTTAAAAATAAAGAAATGCATTTTAAAATTTTTAAAAAATAAAATTTTATTGGTTTTAAAAAATAATATTTGGCATCTTGACGTGTGGAACCGAAGATATTGGAAGGTGATATAACAAATTCATTTTATATATTTTAGCTCATTGAGAAAAAGGATGGATGGAAACAAAACAAGCAAGCGACGACTATGTGCCTCTTCACTCTAGAAGAAACTGTTTCCCACACGCGTCCCCCAAGAGAACAATAGTAGGAGACGGCAAGCAAGTAGGTGGCTTCATTGGACGGTCCAACCCACGTGGTTATTCACAAACGGCCAGCTTCGGGTCCTTCTCACCCTACCGTGGTCTGACCAACAACACCAACCAACGACACTCAAACAACCCCAAACGATGTTCTTCAAAAAAAAAAAACAAACCTAACGATGGATGCGCATATAATCTGATCTCGACGAATTTGAAATTGATCCGATCAAATCAATTCTTTGAAGAAAAATTTATATTCAAACTGGGTTGTTTATTTTAAGGTTGAATCAAAATTAAAGTAAAAAATTGACTCAATTTGATCTGAGATAATATTATAATTATTTTTTATATATTTGGAATTGTTGTAATAATATTTTCCTATATTATTTTTTCAATTAGACCTTTATTTTATTTGATAAAAATAAATTATACATACATATATATATATATGTATATATAGGTTAAGGTCAAGTCAAATATAAATAGAATTTTGATATAAAAATCATGTTAAATTTTGAGTAAAATGAATCTTTCTAAATCAAAATTAATTTACGTAAATGAAGAAATTTAATTTTTAGATCCTATTTACTACGACCAAAAATTCAATCCAACTCCACCTTTACGATTCCTACCCCCTACCTTTTGTAACACGTTAATCCCCTCTATCGAATATATATATATATGAATCAAAACTCCTCATTTTGCCAAATGTTGACCCCGAGTTCAAATCTTTGGGGGAGAGAGAGCCAGGAAAGGAAATGGCAATTTCAACTAGGTGCTGCCTCAACGTGTCCCCTCCAACCCCAAATCTTGGCTCAAACAACTCTTCTCTTAACACCAAGGGACCCCAAGTTGCATGGTAAGTCAACATATGAATTTGGGGTTCATTCACCAGTTTTTTTTTTCCTCTCTCTGCAGGTTTGACACAAGTTTTGTGGAATTCTTTTAGGCCAAGGGACGATAAATGGAGGAAGCAATGCGCATTAGGGTTGGCCTTCATGATGGTCGGGTTACAAGTAGGCGACATGAATACCGACGGCGCCATTGCTAGAGAATATCATCGGTCGCCGCGGAATCGAACTCGGGGGTAACAAGGTGGAGTGACAAAAGGATGTGCCCTCATGGCAGGCGAATTCACTAGAGACAATCGTGCCGGAGAATCTCCGAGGCCATCGGTCATCGGAGATGGGAGCTATTGGTTTCTCCCAAAATGCACCGGCACTAAAGTGGCAGTAGCTAGGAAAACAATATCCGCTTCTCTATGTGATTCCACATTGTTGTATTGATCACATCAAATACAAATCAATCAGAGATGAACTAAGAAAGCTTATAGGACGTGATCATTTCTGAAAATCTTAAATATCATAATTTACATATTTTTATAAAAATAATGTAAATCAATACCTATAGATTGTAACATTAATGATGAAAATGATTAAATTCAAATGTCTTAATTGAATCGTGTAGTTGTAGTACTCGATTGGTGTTATTGAGCTGGGTGTAGCAGTACACATGCAGACAAATTGAACGAATATCTTATTATATATGGTGGACCGGTTGTGAAGCACATATTCTTCATTTCTTTGTCCCATGCCGGGATATTTCAATCTATTTTGGGCTTTGGAAAAGACCCAAATAGCTAGAATGACCGATAATGATATTTTTCTTGTTAAAATAATTAATTTTTTTATACTTTTGCATTTTATTTATAAGATATTTTTAAATAATTTGAAGTGATTATAATGTATTATATGTTTAAAATTCTTTTAATCTTTGATAACAATATCCTACAGACTCGCTGCTCGAATCCAGTTACTCTAGAGAGATCAGCATTCTCTTTTATTACTGAGGCCAAATTTTTAAAAATAATATGAGATGAATATATAAAAAAGTCCACTTACACTATGAGTATAATCAAAGAATTTAAGACTTTTATGACCTATAATCTTAATTAAATTTAGGATGAACTACATTAATATCTATAAACTATATTTATGATTTTTCAGTTATCAAACTTTTAAAAATATAAAATAATTATAAAATCTTTTAAATAATTATAAAAAATCATTACAACCTTAACTGTTGTAAGGAGTGACTTAATACCTTAACTGTTCTTTAAGGTGTGACTTAATTAAATTTCTCTCTTTAGCTCCTCATTGTATCTAAAAGAGAAGAAATAGAAAGGTGGGTCAAACGTTCCCTCTCTCTCACATAAAACCAAAGGGTGACATCATCGAAAACCCTCCAAATCAGCCATTTTCTTCAATGGGTAAATTACTCTTTTAGTCCTCAAACTTAGAGTTTTTAAAAAACTCCTTTCTAGTGATCTTCTTACTGTTGGAGCCTCTAGTTTAGCTCTTTATATTGCTTGATGTTGTAAACAGTTAGGGTGAGGACTTCTTCTTAAGGTGCAACATTATGTTGAATTATCTGGGTTATAATTTCTAATTATTTGAGTGTTTTAATTTGATTTATTCGTTTACATTAAGTGTTCAGTGGAGAATACGTAGAGGGAGATCATTGTTATCTTAACTTGTGTGTGATTGTGAGGTTGAGATTAGCAATTTCTTGCAGTGGTTTTTATAGTTGATTGATATTTTGAGCTAGACTCCCCAAAGATAGAACGTTGTTTGAACTTCGTTGACAAATTACGGGCAAAATCAGTCAACTAGTAAAGTGAGAATTTTTTTCTCTTGAAATAACGTTCGTTAGAATTTATTTTCTCTAGTAGGGATCTTATTAAAGTGCGTCGGAAAAGATGATCGGACGATTTGTATTTTCTGAGAAGATGACCACATGACACGACGTCTTTTACATGCATAAAGATTAAAAGATGTCGTGCCGTCCTATCGTTTTCATGAAAAACATTATATTATGCGACCGTTTTCTCTCGTCACGATAGAAACCACCATATTTCTAAAAATAATGTGAGAAAGACAATATGTAAAAAAAATGCCCAAATTACGTGTCTCAAAATTTTTAACGTGCATGCCAATCGGCCCATTCCAGCTTCACAAAGTTGGTTTTTTTGTTTCTTGCATTTAAACCATATACAATAACTGAGGCTTAAAGAAGGGCAGATGGTTTATGATGCTCCTAGAGATAGTTGTAAATAAGATGAGACAGAACGTAAATTATTCGAATTTAATTTGATTAAAATTCGGTCAGTACTCGATCAAGTGAATTCGATACTTGACATTAAATTGAGAGTTCAAATCTTAGACGACCTTTTCTCTTCTTAAATTTATGAGCAAATTGGATGTCAACTTAGACTGCTTGCTGATAACATCATTGTTGCCACTGGATGTCAACCTCAGCTACATCGCATATGAGTTAGTACAATGTATTGAGGAGATAACTTGTCGTTAATAAATTTTATGCCTAAGTTTCATTTGAATTCAACAAAATCGCTCCAACAATCCTCTTTCCCTCTCTTCTCCATTTGGCAAAAGAGAATTTCATCTCAAGGATAAATCGAGGGAGGCTAGTAGAGACAGTTTGTTTTGAATTCATTAAGTGATTTCAGTAATTAAAGAGAATGTTATTCTCCTTCATCCCGAGTTAGAAAGACCCTTTACGAGGAAGGTTAAGCTTTTTTGCCACTTTCACCCAAGCAATAATTTTTTTTACCCGGTTAGAAGGGTACATGAAAGTTGACCTAAAGACAGTCGAAAAAACCATGTCAAATCACTACAGCTCGCTTAACATGCCTTGCCTCTCCTCTTGTAAAGAACCACCAGTTTGATCTAAAGGACATCATTGAACGGTTAACTATAAACCTAGAAAGTGTCGATGTGGGATAGGGTTTTAATCCAACAAAATTAGTGTGCGGAGCAAATTGTAAAGATCCCCTTGTTCGAAGTAGATAGAGAAAAGTTTACCTAAGTGCAAATTAAGTGTGCGGATCCGCCACTTAAGCCTTCAGGAGCTGAGCGAAGAGCCTTTATGATAACTTTGAGGGACAATACTGATATCTTCGGGTAAACTGCGACATACATGCTTGAAATTGATCTAACAACTACAATGTTTCCATTAATATGGATCCTTTCATCATGGTAATAAAGCAGAAAAGAAAGTTAACAACTGACAAGATTCAGGGGTACGATAAGAGGTTGAAAAACTGTTAGCATCAACTTTATCTGGGAGATCTAATGTTCTAAACGACAGTCTAACGTATTGATTTTACGAGTTTGAACAAAGCTTGTCCTAAGAACAACTTTTCTCTCCCTTCCATGGATAGTGATACAAGTATATGAGTTTTATGGATGTACTTTTTGGCTATAACCAAATCTATATAGATCCAACCGATTAAGAGAAAACCTCCTTCATATTGAAGATTGAAGAGTACCAGAGATACTTATAAACAGTTGGTAAATAAAATCTTCAATACATAAAATGTTAAAGTATATATTTTAACGATATGATCATAAGAAGCGTCTCAATGGAGAAACACATCTTTACAACATTGGCGACATAAACTTAAAATAGGAAAATTGGATCCATCAAGTGACCCATTGGTGAAAGAGAATATTGTTCTCTCTAGATGTCTTGGGTTCAAGTAGATGTGTTGTAGGGTGTGTGTTATCAATAGATTAAGAAATTGTGAATAAATATTTATATTCTATTCACTTTAGACTATGAAAAAAAAAATATAATTTTTATTAAGTAAAGTATACAAATGATCCCCAGACTATAGGATATGCTTGTTGAGACCATCGACTATAAAAGTTACAAAATGATCACTTAGTTATTCATATATTTCAAACTTGTGATTTTTCGTTAAAAAATTAGCAACTATTTGAAGTATGAACTGGACATTAATATGTTGATTGAGATAATAAAATCTGATCTCAAAATTGATTGAGTTGTATTTGTGGATCTACTATTCATTTATATTATATCGTAGAACCAATTCTTGAAACATTATATTGTCGCTAGTGCTTAAAAGCAACGACGGTGTTAGTAACATCATTATACGATTTTATCATATCCTAGTCATAGGTTAACGTCAATCTCAACGACCATCAATTTTTTAATGAAAAAGAACTAGTTTAAAACATATGAATAGTCTATGATCATTTTGTAACTTTTAATAATCGAAAGACTTAATAAAGCAACGTCTTGTACTCAGGACCGTTTGTGTACTTGCGCTTTATTTAAATCACACAGTCAGCCCCGGGGGGTTGAAGAACAAAGAAAAGAAAGGAAAAGGCAGCTTAATATTAAATTCTAATAAACGAAAGTGCTTCCACGAAATTCTTAGACTTAATGCCCACGTATTCTTTGACCGTCACAGATCGGTATCTAGGTTTTCGCCTGAATTTAAGAGCTTTAACAATGGCGACACTCTACAATCCGAGGGTAATCCATAGAATATGCCTTTGATAACCGGTGACACCCTTCTTGGTTCAGAATAGCTCGGTGAAGAGCGCTTTGGAACCTAGCGTTCGATAAAATATGCAAAAGGTCGCCGACGTTCACCACCAGGGCATCAGCAATTGGGAGAACCGAAACCCAACCGGCTCCTTGTTTGAAGATTTGGAGACCACTTACGGCGCTTTGGTGTAGAATGTCAATAGGGATGTGTCGGTGTGTGGGGCTAGGCCCATGGCTCGGTTTGGATTGGGGCATGGTGGGTACGAGTTCAGCTGGAGGGCGGCGCCGAAAGGTGAACCGACGTCCCGGTTTAGGTCTTCTCCGGTGATTTCCAGCGATCCCAGGATGAGGTTTGTTAGCTTCTCTGCTACAACTTCCATTTTCTTCTGATATCTATCCATTACATCGCTGTTTATTCAACACCCAAAATTCATGTTCATAAGGATACTTTCATGTCATGGCACGATGAAGGATGGATAGAGGAAGTTAAAATTCTCATATAATTTATATTTTCTTTAAATTTTTCTATTGATAACTTATTTTCATCTCCTAAAATTTTTTTAAAAGTTTAAATTCTTAAATAATTTAATATTTTCTTTAAACTTTTTTATTAATAACTTATTTAGTATCTTAAAGTTTTATAAGTTTACCTTCCTATATAAAATCATATATATCAAATTGTATATAAGTCTTGTAACAAGAAGAAGACACCGGATTTGATATTAGGTGGGTAAATTTTTAAAATCATAAGAGTGAATACATATTATCAATAAAAATTATATAAAAAATATATCTAAAATATATGATAATTTTAATTTTTAAGGAGTAGCTACTCCGTCTGTTACCCCTCGATCTATCCCTAACTATATTCATACTTTCTTTTTTAGTTTTTATCATTACTTTGATCGAAGTTTGTCTACGTGCATGCATGTAAATTGCAT